ATCTATACGGTTTTGTATTCGAAATTTATTTTACGAGGAACGAACAAAAATGTTTTTTTGGAGAATGAAAACGTTATAGAAAGCCAATAAATAAATAAACAAAGAATATTTCTCATTTCAACTCACACTTTTCTGACGCCTTTTTATACATGCTTGAATATTATATATTTGTGAATCTTAATCTTTAGCTGAAAGTTAGAAATGAGACGAAGAATTCTTCTTACATTACATACAAAATATTTAATAAACTAATCGACTTGTAAATGAGTAACTCAAGGAAAAACTTTTAGAATTTATGTACATAAAAATATTTAGTTCATGTCATATACTCACGTAATTCGTTTAATTTACTCATCTTTGAACTGTTCCTTCATTAAGCAAATATATTCAATTGACTGCAACCTAGATTTCTTATTTGATCTATGATATTAAATACAGAATCCATCAATGAGATAGATTTTTTTATATTTAATTATAAATGAATTTTATATACAAAAATTTCATTTGTAGCAGAAGTAGATAAACGATGATGGTTCAAAATGATATTATTTTATTTAAAAACTGACGTATTCAGTCTGATGTTTATTTTGAAATAAGTTTTCTTCACCAATGAAATAATTAATTATTTATATCGTCGCAAGTAGATATTCTCCAGAAGATTTTCTTTTTATTCAATAACTTGTGTAGAAGAAGCTCTTTTATTGCGTTAAATTTCTGCAGAAACTTATTAGATAGAAACATATCTTCGTTTTGAAACTGAAAATTAAATTTATGAACACCGGATGATATATTTATACAATTCAGTAAACAATGTTACGAATTAGTTGTTAAACTTTATACTTTTCCTTCATTTAATTCATAACAGTTAATTGCATCATAATTTTTATGACTGGGAGGTTTCGATTATGCTCACCAAAAGTGATAGTGAAAGGTAAGCATTAAATTAAAAGTCATTTATTATAAGCTTGTTAAAATTATTTTTTAATAAAAATGTGGTCATTTTATTAACGAAGATGATACGCTTGTCTGATCACCTGTTCGCATTTTATACGAACTTGACTTATTCATTTCTGGAAGTATTCATATCTCTTCATCTCATTGCCTAGAGTCAATCTAATATTTCACTAAAACACGCAACATAAAATGCATTAAAACACGTAGCATTCTCTGAATCGACTTATTTAAATGTTCATTTTGATAATCATCGCGCGCGCTCAGTAAACAATGGTCAAATGTTTTTAATTTCATGAATTATTTGAAGTAAGCAGAGTGTAACCTCAATTTGTCCAGTTATGTATATCTTATTTTTGCTTCACGCTCCTAGTTGATTTGCTAGTAGTTACAGCTTTACAGCTGTAGCCTGTAAGACATTAACTGACATGAGAAATATTTTATACTCTTTAAATGCAAACTTAATGCTTTTTTTCATTTTTCATACAATGAAATAAGAATGGAATCATTTTTCTCTTCAACATTTGGATGTTATGCAGATCGTTTCTAAAAGATTTTCAAATTTGAAGATTTGTTTATTATTTTCTTATTTTATTTTTGTCTTAAAACAATGATGAAAAAGAATTTACAAGTAAACTTTAACTATCGAGCAGATATCACCTTTTTCTTAAAAAGAATTCTTGTTGTCGTTCCGATCATTGTGCATTGTCGTCAAAGGTNGATATTTACATATTAAAAGTTCCTCAGTGTATTACTTCCTGAGTTATTATATTTATTTGACCGTTCCCCTTATATTATAAATTATTTTGCATTTAATTATTCTAAAGAAAAAAAAATTGAAATTATATTCTGGATTGAAAAGAGAACAATTATATTAGTTAAATTCAAAATGCGAAGCGAGAAATGACTGAATAGGCGAGTCTCTCATTACAATTCAAAATGCTAAATCAGAAACTAACCGAGCAAAGTGCATTTGTTCTTTCAGAACACATAACTAGAACATCGAGATGATCTGCTAAATATTTAAATTTTAAATATTATGAAAAGTAAATAAATTAAGTGACGGTTTTGGCATTTCTGCTGAGGCAGTTGCTTAACTTTAATCGTCATACAAATACTGATGAGTAGAATTTATTTAAACAAATGTCAATCTACATGGTCATCATTGAATTATTAATCTATGACATGTTAAAATATATTTTATTAGCGGAATTAACACAGTTATCTCAGATTTCCAAAATATTCTTCCGTGACACAAAATAAAAAGAAATTAAAATTTGAAAAAATATACCGGAAATGACTTTTCTGATTTATCTAAATATGCTCTGAAAACTCATCAAGTCATTTAAATATCAAAGAATAATTTTTGTTGGACATTAATTACCTTTCAATTGAAATAAAAATTATGAATAAATTAAAGATTTTTTAATGTGATGGATTTAAACACCAAAGTCATAAAACGAGGAACAACGTTTCGTTGTAATCGATTGAATTTGAATGCTTCAAGATGGACTTGATAATTGTTATTCTTCAAGAAGAAACTTCTAATTGTTATGTTATTATAAGTAAAAATTGAGTCGGAAGAGCTAAGAAACTAATCGAGCGGACTTTTTCAAAAAGTTAAGCAAAGGGTCACACGTATTGAAGCGAAGTAATTTGAATTTATTTCGATCAAACCATTTAATTATTTTTTCATTGATGATGGTTCGTTCTTAGTAAAACGATTTTAAACAGTTTATTGTCAATGCGTTCGTCATGTTTCACAATGTTTCTACTCGTAAGACGTATTGGAAAAAAAACTCTAGACATTCATTGACGCTTTGTTAGATGTACGCATGTATTTGCCAAATACTATCTTTAAACGGAAATTGAAAAGATTTTTTTGATGACGAAGGTTAGCATAAGTTTGTATTAAAATCTACCGTAGTCGCTATCCAATTGATTTAAAAGCCATTTAAATGAAAATCTTAGTATTAAACTGTCATCATCTTTCATCTTTGAACATAATTTTAGTATTTTATTAGCTGATCAAATCTCAAACATCAAAATCCATAATTCTAATTTTTTTCAAAGTTATGATACAAAAAAAAATGTAAAAGTTTGTAACTTCCTTTCCACATATAATTTATTAAAAGAAGAAAAAAGAGAGACAATGTTTGAGATGAAACATATTTAATGCATGATCGTCAAGAATTTTATGACATTTTTAAGATTTATTCATCCTTTTTGTTTTTCGTGTAGAAAGCTATCATCTTTCAACATTGTACTGTTGTCTTATCAATTTATTTTATGTGTCAGATACACAAAGAGCAATAAATTAAAATAAAAATGAGTGTTTCCACGTAGAACTGTAAAAGGGCATCAAGATTGCTTTTACTAGTAAGCGAGAGATAAGCAAAAGAACGAAACATATGAATGAATGGTGTGTTTCATTAAAAGGATCTGCTTATACTTTATTGTCTCTTCTTCCTGATGATATCCATTATAGGACATTGCAGGTAAACTTAATTTTATGGAGTGACTCGCATTCAAAAATATAATTTTCACTTTTTATTGCTGTTGTTCTTGGCGACAGACGCCGAGAAGAAAAATATTAAGTTTCCTTATCCTTGTTCTCTTTCTCAATATAAATTTATTGCTTGCTCTCAAAATAAATATCTAAAAACAATAAACATCTTCAATTTATCAAGTTCTCAATATTTTTAATGAACGCAATGGAATTTTTCAGATTTATTTTTATATTTGTTTCTCCTTTTTAGTAACTTCTAATTAGAACTTATGTTTAATAATTATCTATTGAGATATCAGAAGAACTACACACTTAAACAGAGTTAATAATTATGTCATGATGGAGGACGTCCTTTAATTTAAAGCCTACTTTGAGTTGTTCTAGAAACATAAATTGCGCTTAAATTCTTTCTTCAGTTTTGAGAATTCAAACATGATGAAATGTGTCATTCAGTCACAGAAAAATATAATTTTTCCCGAACGTATTATAAAAGCCCTAAGGTTATGAAAATTGAAATTTAATATTCACCCTCACATATCCATCTTAAAGCTTCCCTAGAGGACATTGCTTTATTTATTAAAGATGTTTCCTGACATGTGAAAACTTTGCTTTTTTTTATTCAAATTGCAGTTGACACAATCTTTTCAGTTCTTTCTGTTGGCATTATCAATAGATTTATATATGAATATTTTATTACATGCTTTGTCCCTTTTACCTAAAATGTACACACTTTATATGAATTATTTATTTACAAAGACACGAAAAGGAAAACAAGCAACGTAACTCACTTGTTTTGAGATGAGTTAAGTGTGAAATTATTATGTTTAAATTTAGTTTAGAACCCTAAGGAAAAGAAATTCACGCAGCAATCATTACAACAGTTAACGCGTGTATGGGTGGAGTGTTTATTTTCCGATTAAAATGACTGATTTTAATGTAAAAGTTTATGACAAAGTTGTTCATAAACATGTTGTAATAAACAATAATATTTTATAAACATTATTTAACTCTAAATACCACCAACCTTTGAGGGTGTCTAACAATATGTCACTTGCATCACATCTAAGCTAAAATTTGATACAAAAATTTAACAAGCATCTCTGCCATTTATTTCTATTTAATTTTTTACTGTTTACTGAAATATAAATACAATAAATTTTTGATATCAAAATTGTGTTTTCATTTCATTCTTGTTCCCATAAATTAAACTTCTTTCCTTGTTTGTTATCTTTCTCTGGAAATCAACCCGGAATGGTTTAAATAACCTTTCACAATTTAAGGATTTAAAACAGAAAAGAAAATCATGAGTTTTTTGCTTGTCTTGCCTCTTTTGAATTTTTATTACCTTACCCCCCATTTTGGAGTTATTTTCTGCTTATGCTTTGCGGCCTTCTTTCTAGAGGTGGGCGTTTGCGAACGCAAAAAAGGGTTTTTTCTGGTTATTTATAAAATAAAATATTTAAGCATATTTTATAGCATGAAAGTGAGATGATTTTCTAATGCCAAAACTTTACGTTTTCCCCTCAAATTGAATTGAGTGCTTTAAAGGGTTTGCGTAGAAATATTTTATTCAATTCGTTTATGAGGCAAAGTTGAGTAAATATTTGAAATTTTTAATGAAAATTTCTTTCACAATTTTATTGGTATTAATTTTCATGTCTCTGACTGTCAGACATTTTTTTAGAGATTAAGATAAATGATATGCAGTGAGAAATTTAACTAGCAGTAACTTCTACAATGGTGAGAGTAAATTTATGTAAAATTCTGTAACTCATTACTTTGATGTTCATTCGGTAAAGGAAAAAGAATTCTTAAGAATCTAAAGATGGCTGATGCACGAAGTTGACTTCATCATTGCACAAAACATTTTTTAATTCCAATTTCTAAATGAGTAAAGTTTGGACAAAAGAAGTTTGATTACAATTTTTTAGCAAGAAGTTTTTTAATTTATTCGGAGCCTTGGTGGAAACATAATTTTCATTTCAAGAAACTTTCTTATAGAAACTTGCTGGCGTGTGAACTTCTTCATAGCAATGCCATTGCAATGGTAAACTATAAATTTGTCTAAGAGAAAACTAAATGGCATTAGTAATAATCTCAATGTTTCCTTGATTGCTGGATATTAAAAAATTCTTACTTGAAACTTTCTCTTCTTCAATTGATATGAAGTTGCGTGTGTCTGTTAGTTTTGCAATTAATGAAGTAATGATCACCTGTAAAACGAGATATTCTTCATGGCAAGACAGCTTCATCAGCCTCTCTTTTAAATACTGCTTAGTGTGAAATGAAACAATGTAACAATTCTCATTCCATATGATTTTAAAATTGTTCTGTCTTAAAAAATCCTACAAGATACAACAATACATAATAATGCGAGATATATCTACGAAACAAATATAAATAAAAGTTAATTTTTGTTTAATTTGATCGTGTTACGGACTGTTTCTCTTTTTCATTTCAAGATGTCTAAACGATATAATTTCGCAAAGGGTTAACTTGAACAGCTTCAGTTATACTTTTACAAAAGTTTTACTTATAAATATGCAAGTAAATTCAAAATATTCAAATAGTTATAACCATGTCGGCTGTTCGTAAGGGTTATTTTGTAAATATGGTAACAAACTGTTTTGTTTTCTTTTGAAAAGGTGCCAAAGTAGATTAGATCAGATGACAATAAGTAGATTTGATTTATATTTATTCACAATTTCTGTGGTCATTTAGATTAATAAATGTTCAATAAAGATTAATGTTAGTTACACAATTATAGTTAAAATAATTTAAGCAACAGCTTGATGATGAAAGCAAGTTTCTTTACATTCAATTTCAACTCGATCAGGCTGATTGTGTAAGCAATAAAATATAAAACAATATGCACTCATTTGAAAAGAGATTAAAATCGTTAAGCGGGAGGATTTCGATGGCATAAGTTTAACGCTCTAATTTTATAAAAGATTAATTTCAAAGACATGACAAGATAATATTCACTTTTCGGTTACTGAATCCATTGAAGAGAATTATTGAGCGTGAGGTGCAAGAAAGGAAAAGAATTGTCTTATCATGAAATATTATTTGCATCAGAGTTTGATTGGCATTGAGAACATATCTTTATCTATAATTACATCCAATTATTTCGTTAAGTTGATATTATGGTTTCTTGTTCCGCTCACTTTTTGAGCGGAAAGAAATTAAATGAAAGATATTTTGAATAAAAGCTTAACACGAATATAATTTATTCGTTAGATTTTGACTTTCAGGTGATTTTTGTGGGAAAATTTTACCTTTTTAGATCAGTTTGCATGTAAAGTCGTTTTATATTTTAATTTCATTTCGATGGGAACTGAATTAAATAATATTAAACTTTCAGTTAACTTAAAGACATCGTCTTAGTTCACAGAGTTTAATTGATGAAATATTTCTTAGGTAATGATCAGATTGAGCTCGATTGATGCTGTTGCTGCATAATCAACTAAATAATGAAATTTTGCTTGAACAAAATAAAATCTTCATCCTTCACTTCTTCATCAAGTTATGAGTCATAAGTGAAAACATAAATAAATGTATAAGTTATGATAGCAAGAAAATTTCTAAATATTTAGAGCATAAATTTTCACTGAAAATCACCGGATATCCGTATGCACTGATGCACCCTTAACTTACTTTTTATTTTTCTTCTTCTTTAATAACTATTTATATGTTTATTGGGGAAACTGACTTCCGTCATTCATCAAAAGCAGACGACGAGAGAAATTCCTATTATGTTCACTGTTTTCACTCTGTCTTTAAAGAGGGATGGAAATTCTAATAAGAAATAAGTTATTAATATATAGTAATAAGAAGCTCAAAAGCAGAGCACAAGATCATGTGGACACAGACATAAATATTTATATAATCTACAACTGCAACAAGAGTTATGAAAATGTTATTACACTGTTATTGCTCAGGCGAAGACTAAGCGTAAAAGGATATTGATGAATTAATATGCGAGTAATTTAAAGGAACACGAGTTATAAATAAACACAAAGTGACAGCAGTAAGTCATTCATGTCGAACAGCATTTATTATTATGGGGTGTGTTCACAGTCTTTAGGGGTTTATGATTTCTTCTTCTTGTCATTAATAATTTTCATGCCAGATATTATATTTAAACACGACACGTGGCGGTAGTTAACATCTAAATCACAAGTTTTCTTTTTCTATTGGAAAATTTGTTACTAAACTTCGATTTGATCGCTCAGTTTTATTTGTAAATTGCATGTTCACATATTTATAATTCAATTTATGATTTTTATTTGTTTATGATTGTGACAGCATGAGGTAGATAAAATCTAAATATTTTTGAATGCAAATTCTCTTCATTAAAATATTAACAAGACAAAATTAAATTAATGAGGCAACTACTTTCTTCAAAATGCATGGTTGCAAAGTTTGCGACAAAATTTTAAATAAAGTTCTTAATTAAGTGATGCTCTTTGTTGCACGACAATGAAAAATAGATTTGACAAGCTATTCAAAAACTTGATGTCTTCAGTAAATAATATTTTGATCACAATTTTATGACTTTTGAGGTCTGAATGTGTAGTTGACAAAACCAATAATCTTCCCCACGATTTTCTAAATTAATAAATCATTTCGTCACATAATATTTTTATTATGCTATTTATCATAATGAGACATGAGTTCAAACATTTATTTTCGTTTGACAACAACAATAAAAGAATGAGAAAATTATCATCAAGAAGACAGACTAATGGGCGTAATAATTTCCTAACAAATTAATAAATCGTTACAGAAAATATCTGAAATGATTTCGTCACTTTAGTTTTGTGTTGTATGCAAGTCGAATTAAGATTTCTTTTGAAGTTGTCTACAGCAACAGATACTTTCGGCTGAGTGTCATCAATCATCAAATGTTTACTCTTTTCTTGTCATAAGATCCCGCTAAAATGTATTCCGTTCCAAGTAGGTTACAATTTTTCTACTAGAAACGAATGGAAAATGTTTTTTGATAACAAGACTTGCTTATATCTTCTTTAGTATTTTGAGGCAGCTAGTCTCTAATCAAATAAGCTAATTCATTGCAACATGCAACAAAATCAAAGACTGACGAACAAATGGAAGATTTATTAATATTATTTAAATATCTTAAAAATTTTGAAACCTTAAACGTTTTTGAAATGATTTCAATGTTTAAATAAGTTAAATGGCGTGAGTTTGAAATGAACATTAAAGTAATAAAACATGTTTCTTAGATAGACTAAGATAGATATTTACGGATATTTATATGCAACTGTAACAAAACGATTCTCAATGTGCTGAGACAAAAGAATTTTTTGTTTGAGTATAAATAGAAATGTTTTCACTTTGTGAAATTGTTGCTGCTTGCCTTATGTCGTTCATTGACTGATTGAGAATCTCGATGACACAAAAAATAGGATTATCCGAAAAAAAAAATTGAAATTCAGAGGGGAGTTAAAAATATCTATAAAAATAACTGATTAAAAAATATTTGGTTGCATTTTCGAGACTTCATCTAACATTTTATTGTGATGCGTTTTTTTCTTTTCTTCTTAGCTTAGAAGAAGGAAAAGAAACATTTAAATTATTTCACATTCAATTTAAAATCAAATATCTTTAGAATTACAGCGCAATGTTTCACGGGATTTAATTTTAATTTTGTCTTATTACACCCTAATATAATATTTGCCTAGTCATGGATCAAATGAAAATGTTTTTTTATTATTATTTTTGTTCGTTGCTCGTGCATATCAAATTTTTTGATGCTGCAATATGTATGAGTAATCAAGTGACATATTCCATATCATCATAGAAGAACTTTGTCTTCGCACAAGCAGAATCGAGTGATGTTTTTTTGCCACTTTGAATCTGTCTCTTTATTTTCTATTCCCTACGTCGCACAATCCCTTGCTTATTTGTATTCACAAAATATTTAGCTTACCCTCTGCCTTCCGTACTCATTCCTAATGTAAACAAAATGTTACTAATAAAATAATCATAATCGCTTTCGGGGCCAGATGAATGGTGAGAGAAAAATGATGATGACACAGGCTCGAAAGTTAAGCAGTTTGTGTGTGTTTGAGAGTTAATAAATTTGAATGCGGAAAATCTTCCGATGCTGTCTTTAATATCTGCACGTGTTAACAATATGATGATGAATAATTTAAGCGCGTAAATAATATGTTAGGGGAGGCTTATGAAATTTGACTAAGTAAAATGGGTAGAATTAATGAAGGAAAGGATTGAGTGATAGGAAATGTCAGCAATCCAAAGTTCAGTGGAATAATACGTACATTTTACTAATATTAAAAGTGTTAATCAAATCAAAAACTGTGATAAATATTCAAATGTATACTTGCGTATTTACTTCCTATTTTATATTACATAACATTCAATACTTTTCCTTTTAATAATTCTTTGCAAAGTCTTCAATTTATAATGCAATCGTTCGATTGAATTCTCATGTTGAATTAAACAATAAAGCAGAAAAGGAAAATCAAAAGTTGTAACAACTCTAATCATTCGCTGTCCTGTATTTCTAAATCATTTCAAAAAGCTTCTTATGAATTGTATTTTTTAATATTACCATAATTCAAATTTATTTGTGTGACTTTCCGTTTATAGGTTACTCGTTTCTACTTTGTCAATGTTTTGCATTTCTAATTTCAAATTCCCTGTGATTCACGTATCTAATTGATATTTTATGAGGCGAATTTAATAACTTTTACGAGTGTTTAGCAAAAATTCATTTAATTTTTCTTCTTTAATCACAACAAAATCATGACGTTGCATACATATATGAAATTTGTTAAAAGAAAGTGTGTCGAAATATTTCATGGGAAATTATTATTTAAGTACGTAAGTGTTTCAGTTCTTATTGCTGTTCACTTAATTGCAGAGTTATGTTTTTATGTATCTACTCTTTCTTGTTGGCAATATTGATTATCATAAGACAGTGAATTATTTTTATTATCATGAAAATGAGAAAAATATTTTTTCCTGATGTCTTTATCTGTAATTAAGAACATTTTTCTATATGAAAAACAAGTCAAAAGAATGATATTATTCATCAAGATATTTAAGAGGGGAAAAACGGAAAAGTTTTATAAATTTCCTTCTACCTTTGCTCATTTACCATCAACTCTCGAGTTGTTCTTTTATATGGCTCGTTCCATTATGAAAAGATAATTACCCTGAAACATGACGATGGTTACAAAGATTAAAAATAGGACTGAAGCAAAGAAAAAAAGCTCGAGGGAAGGAGTAATTAAATGTGAGCAATAATAATTTTCCATCCGAATGCGTATAATTATCAACGGAGAAAATGAGGATGGATGAAAGATAATATCAAGAAGCCCTTCCTCTGTCGGTGCCTGAGTTTATAAGACAGTTAGAGAGGGAGACAGGAGTTAAAAGGATCATTTTCCCAAAATGATAAACACTGACAATCATAATAAACACGACTGAATGCAAGCAACAACAATTGTCAATGGAAGGTTGTAAATATTAAATTCGGTACATGAATTTCCTCTCAATTTTCATCATAATATCAAAGTTTTCCACTCTGACATGAATCGAACAATCGTGAACATTGCCGACATTGATAAAAAGGACTGTCAGTAGAATTTTATATCTTAAAAAATTGTTGACGAAGATACTTTCACGGGAGTTGTGCGCGTGTTATTGTGTGCTGTAAACAGATCAGATTCCTTTAAGCCAAAACATGAAGAATGCTAAAGAAAGAAATATAAAAAAAAGAAAGCAGGAAGAAATAAAATTCAATTGAGAATGTAAATAAGAAAAAAATATCAACAAATATCTACAGAATATTATGCTGCAGAGTACGCGATGAGTAAGAAGTAAGCGATACTTTATACTTGGAGAGAGAAAAAAACCCTCAAAGTAAAAAAATGTAATGAAAAATATAAATATCTTAGTCACGAAGTGAGAAGAAAAATTATTTGAACAGCCTAACCACCGTTTTGTTTCCCTTGATTTACATGCTCGAATTATGAGGCATTTTTTTACTGATTCGCTTACGAGAAAATAAAACGAAATCAAGGGCAGAAAATTTAATTATTATTTAATCTTGGTTTTAAATTTCAATATAAAAAGCAACAAAGAAACGACCGTAAAATAGTAACAAGCGTAAAATATAAATTTATTAGCTATGTTAAGAATTTTTTAAAACTTTGCTACTTAAATTAATTATAGTTTCATTTGTTATGCGAATCATATGTCACAAATAGCTTAGAATAATCACGCTTTTAAATATATGAATAATTTATTACACAAAATACTTATTCTTACTAAATTAATAAACTTTTTATGCCTCTTGTGTTTGCAAACTGTGAGAAATTTTGAAAATATGTCATCTAATTTTTATGCTAAGTTCTTGTTTTGACGACAGCAAACAAATTGACTCATTGACTGTGAGAACAAAAATAATAAATACCTTTGGCCTGCTTGATATTTTAAAAATGTGAGAAAAGAAACTTATAAAAGTGTTCGTTAGTCAACACCTTAGCCATCATAATTTCAATTTGTTTCAATTTCAAACTTGTATCAGGATCTGAAAATAAATATGTAAATTATTCGATTGTTTTTGATCGTTATGGTTGACGTTTTTTTTGTTTATTCTTTAACGTTTGTGCTCGTTAGCTTGTTAATAATATAAATTCTGCAGTCACTTCACGTGTCTTCTGCTAAATTCAGAAGTTTAAAATATAAATTTTTATTGAAGCATATAAATGGCTATCAAGAAAAATAAAATGTTTTGTAATTTCCCTCATTAAACCACTCTGCTTTCATTTGAAATCACTTAAAAGTGTTTCAAGTAGTAATAACGTGATCTGAATTATAAGCAAGATGTGACCTGTCCGTGAACTCGCACATGAGAAAAAGTCCTGAAAAGACGACACTTTTCTATAATTCAACCGTTTTAATTCATAATGAGTGTTTGGTAACGCATCGATATGAATCATGAAATGAAACCTAAAATCATTTTATTAAAATTCCTCCAACGTTTGCTTTGATAAATTTTAAAAATGTTTAAATATTATTGAATAAAAAGAAACAGAAATTATTAACCTCATTGTTTCATTCACGCTGTTTCTTTTCCGTCTCCTAGAGTGTGAACGTGATATTGACTACATAACATGTTCATGGGAAAGAAACAGTTAAAACGCGTAAATAGTTAAATATGTATTTATTAGTATTCGAATATGTGTGAAGTGACATAGTGCAATAAAACCAGTTGATTTAAAAAAGTACAATTTAAAATAACATAAGCATTTGCTACCTATTAAGTGTAATGATTTTCTTATGATACGTCAAAGCGTTAGCTAATTAATATTTATGACATGTAAGTATGCCTATCATGTTTATTGAAAAAAGAAGTTTACAGAATCATTTTTCAATTAATCCATCTCTTTATCACTGTGTCAAGGTCTTTTAATTATTTTGCGATATGTTTTGATCAAACTGTTGCCTTCGAGTCAACTATAACATCCATCACAGTATAGAATGCTTTTCAACTCGACAGTTCTTTTTTTAAATCTTTAAATGTGATTCTTCACATACAAAAATAAGCATTCGAATCGATTGAACTTTAACTAGATATTCACTCTTTTTCGCTCACGAATGTGATGTTGCGTAAATGAAAAGAAATAAAAAAGATGAACAACAAATAATCAATGTAAGAAGCATAAATGTGAAATCTAATAAATTATCACCTCTCGTTTGAATTTCAAAGCGTACCAAAAAAGGAAACCGACAGTTTTAAACGTGTTGACAGAAATCTCGCAAACAAACGGAACAGAAAAGTTGCAGCACAATGGTGTAAAAAAGACTGTAATCGGTACTGCTTCTGCTGTTCACCTTCTTAATAGCAGTCAATCCCTTCGCTATGGCCTTTGAAACAATAAAGTGATTTCACAAGATGACTTTAAGAAAAAAAAACATAAGAAAAACTTATGTTTTATCCATTTTAGAACAACATGATTACAATAAAAATATTTGTGTATCTGAAGCGATGTCTGATTTATATCTACTTGTATTAAATAATAATCAATTTATTCTCTCTTTTTGTTTGTATGGTTTTGAAAAGTTTGGATTTGATCTGAGGAAAAAAATTATTTTATAAATTCGAAGAGACAATGGTGAACACCTGAGAATTTCCAGAGTGGAAAATAAATGCTGAAACTTTATAGGAACAAATCATCTTTCAACATAAAACATATTTTTACGTTATTTCAACGTTTTTAATGTGATATCTCATTCAATGCTCTAGTTGAGAACATTTAATCAGCAAAGTGGACGCAATGGAATAATCAACTCCTTAATTATGCTCGCATCATAATTTATTTTGCTCTTATTTATCCTCAAGATTTGCTTCGTGTTGTGTTGTGTTAACATCAAACTTTTCTCGTCTAATGTTGACCATGGGAGTAATAAATATAGATATGCATGTAATACGAACTTTGATTCAGTTCGTTGTCTGAGTCTTCAAGAAAAAGTTATTGTAGCAGGGAGGTAGGTAAATAATTACAGCAATTATTTTTGAAAGAATAAAACAATAAATTATAGGATGAGATAGTTTGAGATGTTAAGAAATGCAAGAATTTTCCCTACGCTTCCATTTATGTTCTTTATAATAAATATCAAAATTAGTTTTCCCTTCGTTAATTTTCGCCTGAAGTTTCGATGTTCAAATGTTGAGAGTTCAAGTCAGGTTTTCACGTATGAAATTCCTCAACAATCTTGATTCAAAATAAAAAAAGTTCAGGAAAATTCATTGGAATTGACATGACCATTACATGTGACTGAGGATTGAATGATTTCTGTAAAACATCAACGTTTTAATGAAAAGTGAAGCTGTTGATATGACCTAATAAGTTACAGAACATAACTTTGATTCGATTTTTATCAGAAACACACGAAAAAATATTCATGAAACATAACATGATTGGATTTGGCTAAGCTAAATTGAAAAGTAATGTTACATATCAAAATTCATATCGGAATCAATTTCGAAACGAAAGACGGCTTCATAAATAAGTAAATGTACACCATGACTTCTTCCACCATCTCAATGCATTACATTTCGTAGATGTCAGATGTAAATGTATGTCACTTATGAAATGGTATGGAAGGATTCTCTCGTTCGTTTTCTATTTTCCCTAAATATTCAACGATATGTTAAACACGTTTTTCATGTTTGCAAATGATTTTCAAAATAAGAAAATCATATTTCAAATATATCATCTGAAAATCGGAGATTTTCTTTCAACCGTTAAGTTCAATGTTAAATTTTGCACAACTCAAATGGAACGATTGTGTTTTATTTTGATATGTGAATCACATATGACATGAATTGACAAAAATCTTTTATATTTTCTCAATGTTTCGTTTCCTTTACATAAGATTGGATAATGCAAATGAAATTTGACTAACGCAACCTTATTTTATTAACATGGAATGTGTTGGTAATAAATCATTATAAATCAAATCTATCTATCAATAGTCAATAATGGACAACGGGTAAACATATTTTTGACATAAAACTAAACACATATTGATGGTTAATGTATAAAAAATGTTATGTACTACAAACATAACTCTTAAAAGCACTTTTTTAAGCCATCAATCTTTTAAGGTATTTTAATATGAATGTAGTGCAGACTGGAAACTTTCATCTCAAAGGGATTCAAATGGAATAATTTTGTTACACATTTTTAAAAGTTTATTTGTCACAATTTGTTAGAAAAGCCTTTCGAAAAATTATCTTTTATAATAACAAAACAAAAGTTGATTAGCAAAGAGAGAAATTGTATTTCATCATGCATTGTTGCAAATTATTCAATTGATAAAAGTTATACGCTCGGACGGATTGTTTAACAAATCTTAACGCCAACAAATTTCATACTCGAGTAACGACGATGAAATGAGATCAATTTCAAAAGATTCAAAGTTTTAATTAGTTTCAATCACAATAGTCTTGAACATTTATCGACGCCTTGAAAAGGAAATGAAATGCTGTCTTGATCATGGTAAAAAATTGTTATTTTTGAATGAAGCAATGTGATGGTGTTACACTTGTATCATTTCAGGTAGAAATAGTTTCAGTTTTTGTCGACATGACGCATCACAAAATGCGAGTGAGACAATTCTCAAGTCACGAATAATCGTAAATTGTAAGGTGCTTCTGGACTTCTTTCATAATTTTTCTGGAACTAACGCCTAACGAAACATGATTCCATTCATCGGATGATATTCAAAAAAGAATAAAAAATTCAATGAAAATTATTTAATTTATTTCAAAGTCAAAGCGTTGCGGCGCGGCGAAAGAAAAAGTGGATAAAATTATTAAACGTTTCAAATATTTTACTTTTCATCTTACACCCTCCGTAGCAAAATTGGAATCACACATTTTAATAGTTAATTTAGTTTTTCTTTTTCTTTCTTTTTCATACAGAAGCTCCAACGTAATAAACCAATGAACACCGTTAGATTAGGTAAGTTGAAGATTCTTCAAGAGAATTAGATCCGACAGTAGTTCTGTTTAGAAGATAATTCATCATTTAACGGCATAATGAGTTTGCAGTTTATTTTATCTTTTAAAAGCAGCTGTTGATTTGTCGAATTTTGGGAGCTACAAACATATCTACTAGTCATGTGATGAAAAAATGAAATAACTTTACGCGAAATAAAACTAATTAAAATTCTAAAATTTCCTTACATTGTATGTGGAGAAATAAATGGCAAAGTTAAACATAAATAACCTGCAAGACTTCATATGAGCTTACAAAGAGAATTTTAATTTAAAACTATTATTTTAGATTTATTTTATGTCTTAGAGACATTTTAGATTACAAAGAAATTCAAACTCGAACATTTTTTGAATCTGAAATCAAAATCTGATGATTAATAAAGATAAAATGATGACAAACAATGTTTGTGCTATTTTAAAATTATTTGTTAAATAAATATCTTTGCATGAAAGGTTACAACAAATTCACACAGTTGAAACTTATTTATAATTCCAGATGCATCCAATGCTAGTTTGTAGAAAAATATTTATCAATTCATTAAAAGGAAATTTGTGTCATGATTCTTTTCATAAAATATTCAGATTAAGTATGGAAAGTGCATCTATTTGAAAAACTCACAACTGTTGGCTCTTCAAGATATGGTAGAGACATGTAGAAGCAACATTTTTGAAAGCGTTCAAAACTTATTTGTAATGCAATTGCAACAACGACTTCATAACATGAAAATTTTATCCTAAACAAACAAAAGTATTTGCAATCGGAATCATCATACTACCTAGTGATTGACTTATTTATCTATGCTATAATATGAGATAAAAAAATGCAACACGACTTGTCTCAACTGCATGTAACGCATTAGATTTTCGAGCACATTCATAATTTTTACAAAAATGGATCCCTTGCCACCCTGGGAGTTGCATATCCATCTTCGTCTCAGCATCGTTAATTCATTTACGTTTATTGAACGATTGATTTGTGTTACAAATAATTTCAGGTGCTTTTCTGATGTCTATAAGAAATGTAAGTTGCTGAAAGTTAATAAGGCAACAATATATTTATTTATTAATTAAAATTGTGTAAATAAAAACTCATAATATTGACATTCCTTATACGTCAATTACTTATGATGTCAGTTATGTGTTGTTGGGCAGCATCAAAACAAGGTAATTGCGAGTGCGACTAATGCAGTTGCTGCTACCTAGCATAAAAAAGTGAACTTTCCAGCATTGTGAAGGTTTCATATCATTCAATGATTCATTAAATTATGACGGTTGTGAAACTCATAAAGTATTTATACCAGGTACGATGTTTAAATAATATTTAATTACGACGGCCCCATACCATATTAACATGGGCCATCGTATTGAAACCGGCAAAAAATTTTCAAAAATTTTTATTGCTTAAATATGCTTAAAATATCATGAAACGTCGAGAAAAGTGAAAAAAATTAACTTTTTTTTCGCCGTCGGATTTCGACTCTGGATGTATGTCTGTAACTTTTTAAAATCGTAATAACTTCCACATTTCTCAAGCGATCTTAAAAATATTTTGGGAAGATGAGTTTCTCATCGGGGGACAAATATTCTGAGAAAATGGGGTCTGTACCTTCAGTATTTCAGGTACCTGCCATACAAATTGACCCCAAATTAATCTCGATTTTAATCTAATCTTGATCTTAATCTAATCCTAATCGTGAGTGAGTGAGTGAGTGAGTGAGTGCGCGTGTGTGTGAGTGAGTGAGTGAGTGAGTGAGTGAGTGAGTGAGTGAGTGAGTGAGTTAGTGAGTGAGTGAGTGAGTGAGTGAGTGAGTGAGTGAGTGAGTGAGTGAGGGAGTGAGTGAGTGAGTGAGTGAGTGAGTGAGTGAGTGAGTGAGTGAGTGAGTGAATGAGTGAGTGCGTGTGTGTGTGAGTGAGTTCGCGTGTGAGTGAGTGAGTGAGTGCGCGTGTGTGTGAGTGAGTTCGCGTGTGAGTAAGTTCGCGTGTGAGTGAGTGAGTGAGTGAGTGAGTGAGTGAGTGAGAGAGAGAATTTTATTAATTGCTGTACATTTTGATACTTTTGATACTTCATGTTACATTTTTTTCCTATTTAAAATATCCTAATAAATTTCAACATATGAAAACTAAATAAAGTTATTTCGAAATAATTTAGGATCCTTCAAATCAAGAAGATATTCAAGGTCAAAGTTGAAGTTTGTTTTTTACGTTTTTTCATCAATAACATCTTTTCTCTTTCCTAAACTTGCTTTGACGTCTATGGAAGAATTAAGATCACTGATGAGATGTTTCCATTGATACCTCATTCATTTCTCTACGACTTATGGTTCAAAAGTTACGACTTGTCAAAGTTTCATATTTTTGTATACCAGCGATTGAATAGGCTTCCACGGGATCTTTCATTTTGGGCACTTAGAATTTTTTCAAAAATCTGATATTGTGCAATATGGAAAGGTGATTAAATTACGCAACTTTTAAGATGCAATTGAACTCTCTAACTATCACCGTTTAGAAGATATTCAAGGTCAAAGTTGAAGTTGGTTTTTTACCTTTTTTCACCAATAACATCTTTTCTCTTTCCTAAACTTGCTTTGACGTCTATGGAAGAATTAAGATCACTGATGAGATGTTTCCATTGATACCTCATTTATTTCTCTACGACTTACGGTTTATACTATATTCATTCATTCTTCATCATCATCATCAGGTCTAAGACAGGGTCTGAAAAGACCCACACCCGCCTGTTAAAACAGTCGGGAGGCAATGGACATTTGTGGCAAATGACAATGACAACACTTTCCAATTCCAACGGAAATTGGGTTGTGCTGACTAGTCACTGCCGTCCGTTTTGCATCCTCCTGATATCTATCTCATTCATTCTTAATGTTTTATTTAATTATGTAAGAGAAATCATATATTTCAGATCCTACATAGGCCGGAGTATCTTTAAAATTATGCTGTGGCATAATTTGAAGCCTGCCCATGTGAGGCTTGCCCATCTCCAATTTGTCATAAGCGTTTAAAGCTGTACTGGAATTTATACTTGACTGAAGGTATTGATCATATCAACTGAGCATTGAAACTATTATTGATTGGAATGGCTATGCGATCCGCAAAATTGCATGTGTGGCAGAACAACTATGTGAAAGTCAATAACTAAATGTTCTCAAATAGCGGGAACTTTTTTTTTAGCCTGTTTGATCGCTTACTTACTTCGCATTCAACATTGGAAGAACGTGTGTTTATTTACGCGACCACCAGCGTGCAATAACTAGTTAACAGAAACTGCGACAAAAATGTTGTGCTTGCGCAAATATTTCACATTGAAAGTTTAAAAATATTTTTCATAACAAATTGAAATATTTTTCTTAATTTTTATTGAATGAAAAAGTAAAAACGTCAATCACTATAATTTATTTCAAGGGAAGAATCCTTAAATTTTGTAATTATTCGTGTCAATTATTTCAAGATTTATTTGCTTTTATGTTTTGATCAAGAGCTTTTCATCATGTAATTTCAATAGAAATTGAAATTGTCAACTTCAAGATGTGTTTACTCAAATTCTAAGTTGAAATTTTGATTTAATTTCCACAAGCATTCTTATTATTCAAAGCCGTCAAATAATAATCACTTATTGACGCTCACCCTCGGATTGAATTGCTGCTTCATAAACAATCATTTCAATTATTTATTTATTTTAAAATCGCCTTTGAGTTCCTCCTTGTTCATGCTTAGCAAAATTCAATTTTTTACACCCTCACTAATACTTAATCCCTCACTTTTCATTATTAAAAAATGAATACAAGAAATATTTTAGTAGATAAAAACAAGATAGTCGCTATCCGTTTAAATAATGAAATGGCAAGTGGAATAAATTTTCACAGCAGGATTACACAGAGTTTTATTATTTTTTATTGCACATCAATTCAATTCGACCCGAAATGAACATAACATGTTGATAATTTCACACTTATTTCCTTCAATCTACAATGCGACAGATGTTTTCTTATATCATTCAGTTTCTTTCTCGAGGGTGGAAATTCAGATACAGAAATCAGTGGCGCGGGAGATTTTAACACATCAAATTATAATTTTACAACATCACTACATTAACGATGACTTGCTTGCTACTTGACTTAATTTATAGGAAAAGCGTAAACGAGAACGGGAAAGATTCAATCAAAATTATTCATAATTGGAAAACAAGTCGGATAGTGACGTTTAACATGATAAAATTGAGTACGTAAAGTGCTTTTCATTCACACGCTTAATAATATTTACTTTTCATGAAAACATTGTTAGCAATCTGAATACCATTCGGGATTAATCATAAAAGATTTCTTCTCAAGGGACATTCGTGATGACAAGTTGAGAAAATTTTACATATTTTCCATTAAATATGTAAAGGGCGATAAGTATTATTATGCATTCTCAATATTTATAATCACAGTGCTTATTATGTTTGAATTAAGTAGAGAAGAAAATTAGAGTCAAAGCAAACTTAAATAATTTTTGAAGTCACCAATTCTTTTTAATTCTTCAAAAGAAACCCATAAAAAATCTCTTTTAATCAAAATTCTGTAAATGTTTCAAAAATATTGTCTTTATGAGCAGCAGTTTGCCTGCTTTACAATTTATAGCGGTGTTGGAGCTATAATAATTCCTTCGTTTTTTCGTTATTTCCCTCCCGTACAAAAGCATAAAGCTGATTGCAAAACAGGAATTTATTCGTATCATTGGAAGCATTAAAGATGTGCTATCAAGATGTGACATGAATTTTTAAGCAGCTAAAACTTCCATACTAGAGAGGGTGGCGAACAATTATTTTTTACCTTTTTTATATGCGCCGACGAATGGCATTGGGTGGCAGAACGAGTGTAAAATATTTTATACAAACCAAACCATATTTCTCAGATAATATTCACCTAAATACAATGCGGGGGTAGGAATTTTCCAAAATGGCAGGGATTTTCTAGAATTTATTAGATTTCATGAAACGATGGGTGTCTTATCGCTCTATGCATATCTATTTTGCTATTTTTCGGCATAAGAAGTTGTTGCTAATAAAATGTCAGAAACGAGAATCTTTTAGATATTTGCATATAAAAATTTATTTGTCGAATATATTCTATTGGAAAAAAAATTGTGTATTGAGAAAAGAAAAATCCCTCGATATAAATTCAATGATATCAAATTTGAGCGGAAAGGAGTTAGGAGGAATTTTTGTTGTATTTGAATATGAGAATAATTCGGTGGAATAGAATGAAAGTTGATTGTTGGGAAGAGGCAGTAAAGTAATGCTTGCATATATTCCATTTTAAAGAATTCAATGACGCTGACAGTTTACTGATGCCACATAAATCATGCGAGTATTAACATATCTGATATGATATTTTACATTTATCATTGATTTAGCGACCTATCTGCTATGACAGCTTTACATACGCATTAAATGATTGAAATAAAACAAACTATCAAAGAGGCAACTTCCGATAAGATCTCATGTTTATTGTCAACAATGCCTGCCATAAATGGAAATCACACGCTTGAAACAGGATAAAATCATAGACACTTAAATAAACATTTTCTACGTTATGTTAGATTCATAACACTGTCACGTGTCTTGTGTCTTGTGCTATGAAACGATTTAACACATTTTTCCAAATAAAAATATTTGATAACTTTTCACAGTGTTCTATACTTACATCGGGATAAAAATACATATTCGGTGATTAGATATGTTAGAAAAGTCAGAAACAAATAAGCCCACCAATCTTCTTTCTTTTTTAAATGACAATCTGAAATTTATTCAAACAGCTGAGTATTAGACATTTACGGAAAGTTTATTGACAATAAAAGAAGCTCTTGGAAAATTTTATTGCGGCCTTTTAAGATTATTAAAATCTGCTCTGGCTCACAAAATTTTTAATTGTTTCTGTTTTGACTCCTTTATTGCCTTTCATTTATTAAAGTAATCTCATGTAGCAGTCGCATTCCAAAGTTTTTCGTTGGTTTCTGTCTTAGGGTTAAGTTTGAGAAAGCAAGAACGCTTCTTAACCATAAATCTCTCACATGAAGAAATGAGAAGTATGCTTGATGGAAGGCAGCTAAGAAGGGTTAATCTTGGAATAATTAGCCCAAGAGAAATTTATCTGGTATATTTTTGAAGTAACAATCTGGTGTTGTTTATGTGAAAGATCGTGAACATTTCCCTTTATAACATAATCATCACATATTCAAATATTTTATTGCTGTTTGTAGATACATAATAGGAAGACAAAACATATCTTTAACCTTGGGTCATAATGACGAGAAGAAAGTCTTCATTACTTAATGATTTCCTTCTAAAACTTTTAACTAATCGCATTTCATTTCAAAGCGTTATCATTTTAATTCTCATGAATTTGATACGATGGGCTTGTACCCTCCCCCCCCCCGCCCTCTCTCTCTCTCACTCATTCTCCACTTCTTCTTGGCTTTTGCGTATACATAATTTATCATTTTCGTTTCACTAAACCCTGAACGAATTTCGATTTTTATTTAATTTGCCTCTTCCCTTTAGATTCAAGAGCGAAAAACTCTGCTTATGTATTGGTATTCGTACATAACTTTGTGTGATAATTTTCCATAAATTTTCATTTGACATCTAAGAATGAAAAGGAAATTAATCCGATAAATTTTAAAGAACCAATAAAAGAAAGAAGGAAGGAATGAGAATCATTTTCATGAATCATTCTTAAAACAAAATTTGAGTTTACAAAAAAGTGTTTTAAATTTTTTACACTTCTCAAAATTTCGTTTCATTTGGAAAAGTTTTACAGTTCGATGGACGATCAATGGACGGCATTAAAATTTTTATTCAGTTGGAGTGTGGGACGAAAGCAACCGCATTTGACTCTACCATTTTGTTCCTTTTATTTAGATGGTATTTTATGTCATACATACATTCTTATTGTATTTATGGCAGTCCAGTCAGTCGATGTTCGAATGCTTACTTAATAAAAGGATATATTTTTAAGCGTACAACTGGGGAAGAGCAGAACAATTTTTTATTGAGCATCGTACGAGTATTTCTGTTGGTAACTCTTTACTATTTTATTGAATGTTTGAATCGTGTACGACCCTTACGCCAACCAGTATGAAAATAGAAAATAAGGTGCTTTTACATATATCGATGCTGGCCATTTCAAATTTCTCCCTCTCTCACTTGCTCATCTTCGCAGCTCCCCATGATGTTATGAACGAGCCAGTAAGTATCTGAATGCTTCATTGTGTGAGGGTGTTGCTAGGTTACCAAAACGAAGCTGATAGAAGCAAGTATATTGATGAAAAGATATTATCTTGTCCATTGTCCATAAATATTAATGAGGAAGAAAATTTCATAAATCTGAGTTAAAAACTATTTTATGCTGGAGGTAAACAAGAGAATGGAAATTAAATTTGCAGACGAAAAAAGGAAAATAAATCAATGCCATCTTTTTCTTTGTCTAATCCTTAGTTTAATCGAGGATTCTCGCACCCTTAAATGAGCTAATGCACCACGAGATGCTGCCTAAATCAAATCATAAAAAAGAAGCGTTTTAAATTGCTCAACTTTATTGTAGGTGGATTATGACACCCCTAATATGAATACGCAAAGAGAGGTGAATGCTTCAAAACAAGTTCTTTTCACTTCATCCCTAACAAGTGCTTAAGGGGTCAAACGATTTTGATTATTTCAATATATTTCATTACTTTATGAGTGAGAGGATTTCAATTTAGTCACTTGCTGCATGTATGTATAAATATCATGAGACGATGAAAGAGAAAATTATGTTTCGAGGATAAAGAACGCAATTCTATTTAATACACATGATGTTCAAGCACACATATTTAGATGATAAATCAATTTCACGTCTTTTCTTCAATATTCCCAAATGCTCTCATTGAGTCAAATTGAATTTACAATTTGATGATTATTCAATTTTTTAAAAAAAATTCAACTCTACATTGTTGTAAATTGTAACTAAATTAAATGGGACAAAATTCAATCTTCATAATTTGCCAAATTTGACGTTTTTTTTAAAAAAAAAAGGAAATTAATTAATTTAAAATGTCAGAACAGTGCCTTCACCCTTCCTCCCTTCACATCCGAATAGGGGTAACATATGAAGTGTTCATCCAGTGAACGGTTACCATCTGTGTTTGCCCATAAACAAATATCAAATTAATAAAAATATAGAGTTACATTCATAATAGATATGCTTGATAATATTAAAAAACGAACAAATATCAACTTGTTTTTCAATTTCACGCTTCTTCGAATTGATGACATATAAAGTAGTAACAATGAACGAGGGAAGCATTTAGAATCGCACCATTATTAGCCGGTATAAGTAACACTAGACAATGTAGTCTTTCGTCGCATATATTGTGAACAATCAAAAAAATATTTAAGGTTAAATTTATGGTGAAATTCTACATGCAGTCATACTGGTCGTGTAATGTGAATAAATTTGGGGTAAAAACTCAACCGGGGGTGCAGTTAAATACCGAGAGAATGTAAAAATTCTGCTTATGCTTGCTCTCTATGCTTTGAAGGAAGGGAAAACATAAAATCCCGGAAAGTTGATCGCACAATAAAAAAATTTCTTGTCATTGTTTAATATGATAAATTGTGAAATTGTTAAAGTAGATGGAATTAATAAACAGAGGAATGACTTTGAACAATAGAAAGAGAGAAGATTTTTCATCATCGAGTTGTCATGACATATTTGTTGACATATGGCTAATTGCGCTCTATCAATTTAACCATTTAATTGAATAATTATTGACTAATTCGCGACCATAAATTAAATGAGTGTTGTAAAAACGTCTTGAAGATGTACTTTGGAATTTATTTGAGGTTTAAAGAATGACATCAAATTATTCAGTAATCTTTTAAGTACTTGAGTAAACAATTCTATTTATTCTCTTCGTTTTTTAAAATTTAATATTCTTCATGCTTTCAATTCCTGTTCATTGTTGCTGAAAAATATATAAATAAATGTTTGGTAGATATCAAAGATGCATCTGTATCAATTTCAATTTCTGCTGATTTATTTACACATATGTCATCTTTCATCCCTCATAGATGACAAATAAGAGCGAATAAATGACAAATTTCTATAGTTGGTGATGATACAGACATTCAATGAACACAATGCAAACATGTAATCCATATTCTTTGTAAGATTTTATGGAACCGTTAAATCTCTTTAAATTTATTAACAATTCTATTATAATTGGTGATGCGTAAACTAATTTGTGTTTGTCTCTTTCGCTTCGAAATTCACGACTAGGTACGATGGTACGATAATTCGTTGACTCAGTTTTTTAAGAATAATCCTGAAAAATGTATTTTTGTAAGTGCCTTCTTCAAAATATAAAAAAAAAATCTAAGAAATTTATCTTAAAAGATAGACAATTAAGTATTTTACATTTTTTCTCCTCTGTCCCTTAATGAAAAAAGGCGACAATTTTGATAAGGACATAAAGAAAGAAAAGGAGAACAGCCATTATGTTGTAATATTTATTTGAGTCCCTTCAATGTATTCATCGAAAAGCTTTCGTTATAATAAAAAAAAGAGATGGTAATGGGTCGAAGTAGAACAATTTTAAGATGACTTGACGCTGAAGTTTTGTTCTTTGTTTGTGAATTAATTCGTGTTCTCGTAATATTTAAGCATAGCCTTGTTGGACGGACAAGCAATGAAACACTAACAAGAATCCCACAGTTCCTTTGTGTTAGACCTTAAAATGTTGAATGTAAAAAAGTGAAATGACAGAATAAATAAAATGAAAAGGCAAAATTTCTAATATAAGAAAGGAAAAAAAAAATCTTTAATTGTATTTTTACTGAAAATCAGATTTTTTTTTGTTCTTCTTGTTAAATAATGAGGGTTTGTTCACCAATTACATTTCTTATCTTTTGTAAAACATTTGCCAACATAAAAAGGAAATTTCACTACACCCACGAAAAATCATCATTTCCAAAGGGATTTATTGCAAAACTTTTATTCTTCCATTGTCTCATTTTGAATGAAAAAAATACAAAAATCGAATAAAATTAATGCCTTTTAATTATGTTTTTATAAAGAACAGATTTTTCATGCAAATTCTAACAGTTTTTTTGTCGTCTCTTCCATTCCATTTATGTCGGCTTTTGGGAGAAAATAATCGTATTCAATACTTTTGAGGTAATAAGATTCTATAATGTAATTTCTCTAAAATGAGAACAATAAAACTCATTTCATTAATGTTAGGGAAAGTGAAAAACTACCACAAAAAATCCTGGAACGTTCAATGTTTAATTTTGAATGCTCGGGCAGTCACTGAAAAATTATCTCAGCTTTTTCATAGTGCCGTGGTTTTCAAATTTATACATGCTTTTAATTTGGATATTTAAGAAATAAAATTATGCAAATAAAAGTTTTTGCTCTCATTATCAAATCACAATAGATACTTCAAGATCACATTTAAATTTTAAGCCTTCTTATTTTTAAATCGAAGAAGAAACCTTCGCTTTCGCATTCTTCTCTCTCTCCACAAGAAAAACAAATAACGTAATAATACCTTAAAGTGCTTTGATTGATAGAAATTTTATGGTAAGTTAAAACGGAGTTAAACGAAACATTATTGCTTTTTTTTAAGATAAAGGGGGAGAAAGAGAGATATTAAGCAAAAAAGTTTTTGACATTTTACGAACACAGCAGAAGAAAAAAAATGTTTTTAAATAACGTCTGCATTTAAATTCTAGAGAATGGAATAAAAAAGTTTGAAGTTGTCGAGAAAGCCTGTCCTCCATTCTGGTTCATTGGACGAAGGAGAATCAAAAAATCAATTTAATTCTTCTGTTTGAACAAATCAAATTCATGAAGCATTAGCGAAAGTGCAGATTCATAACGGTGTTTACACAACAAAACCGCCCTTTGATCATCCATTTGAAAACATCGAATGAGAAAGTTAAGGAAAATTTCCAATTTCACTATGAAATTTCTTCTTTTTCAGATGACATACGATTTAATGAAAATTGTGTTTTCATCCCTTTTGTTAAAATTTTCAATCATCATTGATCTGTTATAGACAGGCACAAGCAATACATTCACAACCTCACTCATTCTGTTCAAAAATTGCGATTTCAGGATTTTTGCGTTCATTCGGGTAAAAACAATCGCTTTTATAATTTTTCTCGATTTATTTTCGACATATTAACAATTTTATTGATTTTACATTCTCCGCTTTCGGATGGGATACTTTTACCAGACGTTTGTACAATCATTTTAATGACAAGCTAGAAAATGAAGAAAGTCTCGTTAGGTTTTGAATTTCTTCAAACAAATCCAATTTAGAAAGGAAAATTGTGGATTTGTGTTGTTCAATGCTAAGACCTTGAGATGTTTCGAGACTTTAATAGGAGCGAGCTTATTCTAAAAGCTTATTTAATAAATTTTAATTGTTTAATTAGAGAAGCAATCCAATTATTCGCATTTGATTTCCTCGACATATTTAACTGTTTTCATAATAAAAAATAATAACCAAAAACAAAATGCATTTAAAAGAAGAAGAAGAAAATTAATGTCTTTGGATATGAAAGTATCTTCGTTTTTATTCTCTATCTAGCACCCCTCCACCCACTTCTACCCAACATTGATGAAAATATTTTTCAGCTTTTCTCCAAGAGAGAGAGTAAGGAAAATTATTATATGTGTATGTGTTATTTTATGAAAAAAAAGAAAGAAAAAAACGAGAGAGAATGTGGCGAGGGTTGTGCAATAGATTCTTGTTTTCGTCTCGAACCAATAATATTCTCTGACTTGCCTTGGTCCCGAATATGAAATGAAAATCTTCAAAATTATGAAATATATATATATATTTTTTTTCTTCCTCTGACCGCACTTGCGTAGTAACTCTATCTTCTTTTTCACAGCGAATCATCTCCATGTTTCTTTTTCCTTCATAGCAAGAGACGTGCACCTATGGGTGAGGAATATGATTTTAGTATCATGAAATATGAAGAGAACTGGGGTTGCTTGCGATCCCTGGAAATTGAATTCTATCAACGTTCATATTGCAAATGGCTTTAAAATGTATACCATATGAAGGATTTAACTCCTTATTTATGTAAATTAAGATTACTGTCTATCTGTAGAATTTTATTGCATAAAAATATGAGGGTTTAGCATATGCTTTTGTTAGCATAAATTGCTTGAAAAAAAAGGGTTGATTATAGTCAATGATGAATAAAATCTTTGTCTCCGCACACATATATGCCAACTCCCCTTCAAACACAACGTTCATTTAATATTTTATGCTTTCAATTCCGTATCATGCGTTTAAAATAAATTGTTTTACTCTGACATACTCGAACGACACATACGCAACTTGATTATTAATTTAAATCCTGATTTAAATCTTCATCTTGGAAAATTTTCTTTTCATTTTACTTGCTTTTAATATCAATTACAATGAAACGCTTCAAACCCAACTTCAGACAATTAAAATTTTATCACGCTTGACTAATATTTTAACGACTCTTTGCTGAATTAAATATTAAAACTCACGAATTTTATCCCTTCTTTCTGCTACATTCAAAAGGATGAGAAAAGACATCGTTGACGAAAATGAAGATGTCACTTGAAGAATTCCAACGGCAGAGATATTAAAACAATACCTTTAAATGGCGTCAAAAGTAAAACATTTCTTTTTGTCTGCATTTTAATTATTTTATATATTTTTTGTGTATTTTAGTAATTACATTTTTAATATGTACAAAAAATGATTCATCCAAATGTAAAGATTTCATGCATATGAAGAGATAAATTATAAAAAGAAAACAAGAAACCATACGAGTGGGTGAAGATAATGATTTTTTTTTTCAGAATATTCTCAATAAATTTCAGCGTTTTATTCTATTTCTTTTACTCAAACTAAATTTATTATCACAAAAATAATTATTGGTATAAACATGAATTTTTTTTTACCATTTTCAAATTCAAATCTGTTTTATAATTTTTTCATACAACTAAGTGCCTTATAATGAAACTTTGAGTGTAGGTGTTTTTGCAGGATAGTTTTCTTTTAAAATGTCTTTAACTTTAAGTATGTTTTTTTTCTTGTTAACAAAAAAATATCAAATTTACACCAAAATGTTCTTTTTTACACGGATTGTGATTTGTAAATTATATTTAGATTATAACTTTTTTTTGTATTTTCCAGTATCTTCATAAAATGACATTCAATAACGAAAGGAAGAACAAAACGATAAAACTTTTCATACACCCATCCTTAAAATATCCTCGATATCGTTACGCCATCTATATTTCAAACTTTTGCACCTAAGCCAACTGCTGCTTGTCCTTATTAATGAAAAAAATTTGTATTTAACCTTTCTCTGCGTATATTGGATTGAAGTTTTGTGTGTTTTTTTTCTTATGGTATTGTAGATAAGATCTTTTATATTTCTGTACACTATCCATTTCATTTAGTTATGTTAAATTTTGATATGTCAAACTTTTTTTTCATCTTATTCTTCTTTAGCGTTTAAAAAAATGAGTTCCTTATATTAAGTTGATTTTCCTTCTGTAAAATAACATTTTGGTTTGCTTCATAATTTATTCCTTACATAAGTCTTTAATAGTCTGCTTTGAAATGCTGCGTGTGTCTTTTTGATTCTATCAACTCGCAGCAATGTTTTCTGGCATTTCATTCAATTTGTTGCACCATTTCTTGATATCTGGTTCTTTTGTAAATTTCTGACCAAGCGCCGAAAAATTTGATTCCACTTTGTCTTCATTCTCTTTTGTAACCGATTCATTATTCATCTCGTCGTCTTCGCCATTTTTGACGCCATTGATATTAGGCGAACGCGAATTTTCTAATTTGATAGCAAAATTAATTTGTTGGTTGTTATTGATGGTTGATTGCGAGTCGCTTGTTTGCCCACCACCAGACGACATACGAGATTCATCACCAGAATTCGAATTCCCGAACATATCACGTATTTTATGTGTGAGCATATGTTGTTTCATATTACCCTGCAACGAAAAATTCAGACTTTATTGTTATTTCTACCAATAAAATATTTATGTGAAAAATTAAATTTATGTAGATATTTATGAAAATAAAAATGTTTATCAAGGAAATGTAGGTAATTATTTTCTTCAAGGTTCAAGTGAAGTTTATAATTTAATTTGATTAAAATTCGCAAGAGTCATTAAGCTCTTAATATTGTTGTTCACACATTTTCAAGTCTATTGTTAAACTCGTTGAATCTAAAACAACATTTTCGACAAAATTCATTTTCATCACCATTCTCTATGTAATCAAAATTCAAATAAAACATGTTGCGTGCTCATATATTTAAAAAATGCTCTAATATTTCAAACACTTCTTCGTAATGAATCTTCATCTCTCATGTAGTTATTTAAACTTCATAACTGAAGAAAGATGGAAAGACTCTCTTTGTAGTTCAATAGTAGAAACGTAACATGTTTGTTTTATTTTTAATTCAGTACTATTCCAAATTAACTGCTTTGAATACGATGTAATTTAAGCGAAATTTATCTCTCGCTGAGTACTTTAGTATGATTTTTTCCAAATGTATTCTTTGAAGAAAAAAGAAACCAAGTTTATTTTAAGAGCGATTAATTTCTTTTCTTTTGGTGATTTTTTTTTCTGTTGTGTTGGGAAATAAAACACGCGAGAAATGAAGAAATTATTTTCATCACAGTCTGATCATTTTAAATCGACATTCCTGAGAAAGAAAGAAAAAAAAAATCGTCGGAAAATCACTCGCACGATTCTTGTTCGCATATTTTTTTTCTATTGTTATCTCTTTGAAAGAAAATGAAGATGCCAGCCGAGAAGATGAATAAATATAATGTGACAATATATCTTGGCTCGATATCAAAACATTTCTAATATAAATCCACTCGGGGTAGCTTGAGAAGAAAAGAAAAACTAGCCGTAAAAAAATGAATAGTCGCGATGAATTGAATTAAATTTATTCATTATAAAAGTTTATAAGCGATGTTCACCTACAAACGCGTATCAATTTTAAGTTAAACTTTAGTTTCCGCTCTTGATGTTACGAATCAATTAAATTAATTGCAACGACTTAAAGACGAGTTTAATTTGATCAATGAGCGATATATCTTGTCAATCTTTTTAAATTATATTTATATTTAGAATTCGCACTCGTCACTATTTTATTCGCAGATTGAAAGAAAAAACTTCTAAACTGTCGTGCATTAACAATAGCAACATAACTTTGAAAGTTTAAAAGATTTTTAAATGTTCCTACGATCGATATAATGACAATGAGATGTGTCAGGTCGTTAATTTTCGCTTTCATTCATGTAACTCAACACACAAACTTCAACATCAATTTAACAAACAGAATATACTTTAAAGATCTTTAATAGTCTCAGCTTTAATAGCACTTTCAAATGCTTTATATTTTTGAGGCCTCTTCAAATCGACGACAAAGAGCGAGATTTTCCTTTTCTTTCAATCTTTCTTCCTTTCCTTCTCTCAACTCAGTCAATTCAACTTTCTTTTAAACATGTTTTTGCTACTCTTTATGGATAACATTAGTTTGTTATGGTAAAGTTTACTGCAAGTTTGATGAAAATGTTAGGCAACATTATTCATGTATGTACATACCATGTGAGGTTTGTTTAATTTAAATATTTTCAGTATCTTTCAAAGACGAAATGAAAAGAAGTAGCAATCGATTGGAAATTTAGATCACAATTTAAATAATCAAAAAAGAGCTTTGGAATGATGTCATAAAAGTAATTTTAAAGTCAATCTCACCTTTGTAGAAAATCCGCGATCACAAATCGAGCACTTATAAGGTCTTTCTTTGGTATGCGATCGATAATGAATTTCTAATGCTGAGTTGCAGGCGAATGTTTTAAAGCATATGTTGCAGGTTGTTGTATTACCACGAACACCTTTTAAACAAATCTATTTTTAATTAATTTTGATTTTTTACTCTTACATGTTAGAAAATGAAGAAATGTTGAAGTGAATTGAGTGAACATAATACTCACCGAATAATCCAAAGGGTGGCATGTTAGCACTCGATGGGACGATAGGAACATTTGCCATGAATGGTGGTCGATTGACAAAGGGAGGAAATTGATGGATGCCTAAGAAGTGAGGGCCGTAAGGAAACGGTGGGCGTTCAGTTGAAGGCGGAGTTGCAATGGGTGAACGATTCGATAATCCAGACGGTGGAGTTTGATTGACAGATGGACTTGACGAGCGCAGTCTTTTAGCTTCTGATATGCTGGGACTCACAGGAGATGAATCACGAGAATAGTCATCATTCGATGCTGAATGCACTGATAATCTTTGTAAGTTCATCGCTCTCAAATCTTCCACGTGAGTTTCAATGTCGGGCGATGTTAAGCCAGTTTTAACGCGAATTCCTTCGCGATGATTTTCACTATTGTGCTTTTTATTCGACTTATTAGCCTGTGATTTTTCACGTTGAATTTCACGATTGTCACGTTTATTCACGTGTTGTTCACGCTCACGATTAGCATCTGTCATTTCTACATTATTTTCATCATCTGACTGCTCTACAGATCTTTTTTGTGGTGGAAAATCACTCATTCTGATACCAAACGGTGGCATTTTCATTTCAGTATGTTCACGGATCTCGGGAAATTCCCGAATTTCAGCAGCACGAATTTGATCTGGCGTTAAGTCAGTCATTTCTCCTGTATGTAAGCGAATATGTTGTTGTAGCACAAAAATATTTGAAAACTTCTGATGACAAACCGGACATTGATGAAGCGTTCGCATTGGTGGCTTAATACGATGAACACTCATGTGAGTCTTCAAATTTCCTTTTGTTGTAAACGAACGACCGCAAATCTTGCATCGAAAAGGTCGTTCCCCAGTGTGCACTCTGTAATGCATTTGTAATGCACTTCGACATGACAAAACTTTTTTACACACCAAGCATTGATTCGGTTCGATGTTCTTGTTATCTATATTGTCGACAAGTTCTTGAAGCTTTGAAGTTTCTGATGAGATTTCAATAAAATTCTCCCATGAGCTGTCATTGCTATCGGGACGAGGTAGATGTGCCGAAAAATAGCTTGGATCAAGCACAGTATCTTGATAAAGTGAACCGGATGTGCTTGAAGAACTGCTTGGTGGAGATACGGACGGAACTTTTGCTAAATTCTCTACCGAATTGTTTTTCATACGCAAACTAAATTCTTTCTCGTCTCTATCACGTTCCTTCTCGCGTTCTCTCTCATGACGATTTATTCTTGATGATCGTTCATTCATAACTTGCTCGTCTTTATCAATTCGATGATGCTGATGATTTTGGTGACAATTGTTTGGTGATGATATATGAAGAGGCTGGGTTATTGCTGGAGGCTTTGTTGTTTGAATATTCTTCTCAGATGAAGATGAATTCTTATGAGATTTATCGCTTAAATCTAACGTTTCATCCTCCGGTTCTTCTTTGATTGTTTGCTGTGAATGTGCTTCTTCTTCTTCTTCATGAATCATCACTTCTGGTGATAATCGAAATGATGGAGATTCGGGCTTTTTCATCTGCGATAAATCGACGGGATTTCTTGCAGCTTCACCAGCACCAACAGGTCCGAAAAGTTCTATTGGTGGGCGTGGGAAGTAAAAGTCAGGGAAAAAGCCTCGTTGAGGAAATTGTCTGTTTTCAATATTTGGGAACGGTGGATTAGTTGTCGGTGGTGCATTTGGCATTTCTTTAAGAGCTTCTGATGGAACGAGTGGAGGGAAATATTTGTCGAGATGTTCCGGCACTGGATTTGGATTCATTGGGATGTGCGGATATTTATCAGAGTGTCTTTGAAAATGAACTTTTAAGTTGCCTTTTGTAGTAAAGCGACTTCCACACACGTTGCACTTGTAAGGACGTTCACCCGTGTGCGAACGAATGTGAATTTGAAGTGACGAATCTGAGCCAAATATTTTACCACAATACCGACAGCGATGCTTAAAAAGAGACGAATCAGTTCTTCCATTCGGTGATGCTTTGTCATTAGCAAAAGCTAATTCATCAAGAAGATTGTTTGACAAGATTCCCTGGGATGCTGAATTAAGAACTTCTTGCGCTTTCTTCTCTAACATCGCTAGAGAATTCGTTGATTCACTGATTTGAATTGCCGGATCATGATCAGTTATGATGTTTGATGCTAGTGAAAAATTACTTGTGAAAGCATTTAATCCATTTAAACCTTCTTCAGCCTTTTTAAGGATATTTTCAACGTCGCCGTTTTCATGTGATTTTGATTTTGGATTTCTGTTTAAAAAAGAAAATAAAAATTTAAGTTTGATAAAAATTAATTAAAATAAGAATTAAAAATGACGCCTTACCTGCTTTCATTTTCTTTCATGAGAGCTTCTTGCATTTTAGTGAAATGTTTTGTTTCCATAATGCGTTGGCGAATTTGATTCTGTCTATCATCTTCAAGCTCGTCAATGTCTCCATCTTCTTCGTCAATGTCATCTTTCATTTTACGGTCGGAATCGTCATCGTCCGAATCACATTTGCTACTAGGTTTCTCAGTGTTCGTATCGCTATCGCCCTTTTTATTAACTAATTGAGATTGCAAATGCTGAATTAATTGAAATTGAAGGAATTGTTGCTGTTGAAGAGTGAAGAGTGCTGATTGTAAAATTGCCAAATTCTTCATAACTGTTTCATTGTCCATGTTGTTAGCAATTGCATTAGCTGTGAACTGTGCAATGGCATTTTGAAAGGTTTGCATTGACATTTGTCCAGGCTGGAACATGGCAGCGTTATTAAATATTGCATTCGCTTCATTTAAAACAGCTGATGCAGCCGATTGTGCTTGTACAGCCGCTTGTAAATCCATTGCATTCGACTGACTGAAACTAATTTCTCCTGGCTCCATTTCATTTTCATCGCCTGCTACATTTTCGTCGTCTGGCTCATCTTTCGCTATCGATTTGCCATTTTCCTCCAAATTTCCGTTTACATCCTCACCCTCTTCCTCCACACGCAATGCTTCACAATCAGCCATCGCAATCGAAGAATCTGTTAAATTGTTTTTTCTTTGTTTGCGTTTGCGACTGATATCGATTGAATTTTCTTTGTCATCACACGATTCCTCCTTTATTTCTGTAAATTTCGTGGAGCACACAAGAGAAGCAAAAGATATTACATATTGTATAATTAATGAAAGATATTTTGATTTTCGTAGCTATCATCAAATTCAAGTTTTGAGCTGTTCATATTCATCATCACGACGAGAATAATTTAAGTTGATTCTTATTTTGCTTTTTTTTTTCTCGTCTTCAACGAATAAAAACAAGTTTGTACTTTTACTCGCGCTTACTAAGTTGTTCTTTTTATTATTTTCAACGAAATAAACAATGAAAATGAGTTAAACTTATTGCAACAGACTTCATTTTCGGTTTTTAAAGCTTTAAACAGTTTCGAAGAATATAAAGAGTAAAAGATCAATTATAATTTGATTTTATGAGCGAATATATGAAGAATTTTGTTTTGATGTAAGTACTCAAGTATATAATGAAGCATGAAAACAATAACAACAACATATAAAGAAGGTAGAAGTAAAGAGTTTATAATAACTTTTTTAAGACTTCTTTTGTCCATGGAAAACTTTAAAAATTTATAATAATGAAAAGTACTAAAATTTGGTCATCCTATAGCGATATGAATGAATAACCAAAATAACATTCGAGTAGTCTTTGTGATTGGCTGATTGCTTTTCAATCGTCTTCTGATGAAAACGAGACAATAAAATTTGTTCTCAGACTCTGTACGTAAGGATCACAATACATTCTAAAAAGTAAATTTCTGAGGTTTTTACTTCGCTCTTGCGAAGCCAAGAAGAAATAAACATTTAAGAAACCATGTTGCCTTAGACATTAAATATTTAAAGTTTTTCATCTTTCGACTTTTCGTAAATATTTTTTTTCGGTTTGGATTGAAATTATTTAAACTGGTTATTCATGGGAAGAAAGAAAAATGTTTGCACGTCGGGAATATTTTTGGGTTGACAAAACACAATTTCATTACAATAAAGCATGCTTCATGTTTTTTCATTTCGGAAGTTGTTTCTTATTCAAGTATCGACAGATGAATAAAATTTGTGAACGAGTTTTCTTGTTATCTGATTAGCTGTGAGATGATCTGTTGAAAGGCAATGGCCTTTTGTGACTGATGTTATCAAACTTAAATTAAAAATGTGTGTGAATATTGAAAATTTTTCTCAGAAGAAAATAAATGAAACTTGTGAAAATGTCGAGAAAGTATTATGTCAAAACAAAGTCTAAGAAATTAATTGATTACACAAAAATCAAATATTAAAGCCGATCGAAAATTTCGCTCGTACGAATAAAGAAAAAAAATTAATTTAAGTTTGCTTCAAAATTTGAAACAATAATTCAATTAAATTAATCTTATAATTAACAAGAAAAAAATGATAGCAAAAACTCAAACAAATTAACAAATTTTCACTTAAGTCGGTTCAGTTCTGAATTAACATTTTTATTGTGCGCGATGTTATTGAAAGCTGTCATGAAAATTTATTTAAATAGCACTAATAGCAATACATAACATGTGAGTGTTGACATTTTATGAGGAAAAATGAGTTGAAGTAAAAAGAAAACAAGTAAATAACAAAATCAAGAAAATAAACTTTTAGTTCAAGAAAAAGAATTTTTATAAGCTCCGAGCTTTGACTACATTTGAAAAATATCTGATGCTGATGAATGGTATGAAAAATGATTGTCTGCGTTTATTAAAATAAATATACTCCTATTAAAAAACATCCGATTTTGTATTTTTAAGTAGCTCATATTTTAATCCAATGGATTAAAAGATTTTCGCACACTCAAGAGGCTTCACAAATATTTTTTGTCGGTTTTTGATTTTGCAAGTGTAATACACATTACTTAAAAGGAAGTTAAAAAGTTTCAGTTAAATGATTGACCGCATAATAAAATTATTGGTTGCTTATTTTGTATCCTGGTGATACTTTCTTGCAAATTATATTCTGTAATTAATCCTAATTAAATATCCACATGAAATAAAACATGACAGAAATTGCTCTATAAAAATGAGCTGCGACACAAAGCTAAATGATTAAATGAAATTTGAACCTTAACTTAAATACAAAAAAAAACGAGCTTTCAACTCATAAACGGAAACAAATCTGATCATTTAACAGTTCGACTTTGATTTTCATATATTCATGCACTTCACAAATTAATCAGTTCACTTGCATCGTAATGCTTGTTATCCACATTCTTGAAGTACATTTCCAATGATTGATATAAAACAGTCACAACGCTTAATTAATCATACAGCCAGGAAAGGATTATAGTGAGAAATGATTTAAAAAAATAGAAATTTTTCCATGAACGTAATTAAATGGCATTGCGAGTACATAACTCTGATCACAAATTATGTGACACTTCATTATATTTATTTTATATTCGAGTTGTTGAAACATTTATTGAATTCAGAAGATTTTCACCGACGGACTTTTTTTCTTCCTAAAAGTTAAATGTTTTGCATGTAAATATTTTGCTTTTAGCATAAATTATTGCAAAACTTGATAACTTTGAGTCACGTTATATTTTACATTACAACACGCTCTTTATGAATTTAATGATATCGGAAGATTATTAACCTTCTTCACGTGCAGAACTTGATTCACTATCGCCATTTATGTGACCACAAGATTCAAGTTGAATCATTTCCTTCAAGAATTTTTCTTCCACTGATGATTCTTTTGCTTCTGTTGCTTAATACTTCCAAGCTTAATTCTCTCACTTTCGTTTTATATTTCTATTGCACTTGACATTTTGGGACTTTTCTCTTGATTTTCTTAACTTTAATATTTTCTTTTTCTTAGATTTTAGATTTTATCCTTCTCTTGATCTTTTATTTAAATATTTTTTTTCTTTCTTTCTTGATTTCAATTAAATCCACTCTTGTTTTTGGTTTTCAACACTGAATCTGGAACTATTTTAATAACACTTTTATTTTTCGAGGAGAACTCAGATAACCGCACGTTTATGAATCAACGGAAAATCAAACATTGAATATTGATATAATTGTTGTCTAAATTTAATTCCGTTTCCTAATATTGTTGTTCGTTCTCGCTCGGCATTATGTGTGTGTAGTGTTTTCTTATGATCGAATGATAAATTATATGAAAAAATATTATTTTATGATTTTTCTTTTCTTAACTTTTCTACAATCGTTTCTTTCATCCGCGCTGTATAAACACAACTTGACTGTAGACCCTCCGAAAAAATAAAAAACACTAACGACCAAGCTCCGTATATCTAGCATCATCTCTCGGAAATTCACACTACTCACACATATTAAATCATATTTTCTTATGTTTTTTTCGTCAAAGTACGTTTGTGTTATTAAAGTTAATGTTTTCACAATGTTCTTCGAAATACATGCGCAATCATGCACAATTTTTCCCCTCAAAACTACATCGCCGCTCGTAAAAATTTCTTTCTTCTTGTGAAATACAACACAATACATTGACACACTCCTACCACTTCCAACACCATCTCGCTTTCTCCCCACCTCGATCACTAACACCAACGTTCATATATCGCCTTTGTAAAAATATGTATTTATACTTTGTAAAAATTTTACCGCATTTATTATTTTTTATGATCATTTATTTATTTATTTTCTGTCATAAATACCAAAAAGGTGGAGCCTTCATTCGCTAGATTATATCTCATATATTTACTTGTATGTACATTCTTAACTTATACAGCTATAACTTGAAATATTAAAAATTTCTTGTAAGCTATATTAAACCGTATTAAAAAAATATAATAAAGATTTTTGGGAGGTGCTGGAAAAAAAAAGCTCAAGAGATTTTATTTAAATCTATCTATTTGGAAAATGAATGCTTTCTCTCGAATATCGTTCAATTTTTTTGACATTTCAACAGAGAAAAATTATTTCTTCAATGTTCTATTTTCAGCTTTATAAATGTTAGAAATTCTAGCAATAATTTAGAGTTGTTCTTAAAGCAATTACCTAGTTCTTCAATGGTTGGAATTGAAACTTTAATGTGTAAATGTCTAGAATTTAATCTTAGATGGGAATAAATAATTCAATTGAATTGATTCAGTTTTTATGAATGTTTAAAAATACGACGATTTATTGTTGGTTAAACTGTTGACAAATACCTCGTACACAAATTCTCGTTACATTGGTTAGTTAAAATATATTCTATAGATGTGTAGGAGTTTAATGACCTTGACAAACGTTTTTGACTTTTGTGGATTCTTTTTGTTTTCGACATTCCCAAAAACGAAAAAAAAGAAGATTTTAGCATCATTTTCGCAATGAATGTAAATAGTAAACAGTTTGAGAAATATTTACCACTAGTGAACAAGTACTAAAACTTAACCCGACAAGTCAGGAAGGAAAGAGAGGAAATAAATGACAACGACGAAAACAACATAATCAGAATTACGAGAGAGAAAAGCGGCAAAATGAAATTTTATTTACTCCTCGAGGGGCTTCGATAAATGCGAAAATTTACAAATTACTATGAAGATTAAAACATTGTCTTTTTTACACAAGTCGCATGTATGTTCTGTTCTTTAAGGGAGAACGAGAGATAAAGATGGAGGAACTGTTATGTTTACATAAGGGCCTGACGCATTGAATTTCTTCACTTTCAAAGTTTACATAGAAAACTGTAAATAGCAGTCGGCAGACAATACGAGGCAAAAAAAAACTTAGAATAACAAGAAAAACACATTCATGTAAAATCGATAAAGACGTCACTGACCTAGTGCACATATCTCGAGGCAAGCTTTCTGGTGGTTTTAAAACCGTTGGTTTTGGTTTTCAAGAAGTTGAAACAAATAATTTATTTAAATAAGAACATCAGATGGAAAAAGGAGTTGAAAGATTGAGATTTCAGCCGAACAAACTCAAAACCATATAAACAATTAATTATTAAGCCTTTTTAACTTCACTAATCTATTAAAACAATGATATTTATGTGATAGAACTCGAAGAGTTTCCTCTTAAGCGGCGTATCTATTTCAAACGAGATTTTTAACGATATTTAAAAATTCTGATCATATCTTGGGAATGATCAAACGCTCATTTCTCAGCTTTTACTATCGCACAAGAATAAAAGAAAAAAAATATCAAATTAATGAAAGGAAGAAGAAGACTAGCAAACATGTTCATATTAAATTAATTTTATTTCTGTTTTCGGTCGAAACATTTTTTAAGAATGAAATAAGAATTACTACATAAGAGAGAGAAATGAATGATCCGATGCGACGACAAATCTACGCACACGTTTGAAGAAGTGAAAGCAATTCAAAAGAACGATTTAAAGATATTATAAAAAGAGGAGTTTCCTGTAATATATTTCATGACTTTCGATTTTTCTTAACGAAGGAATGTTTGGTAACTTTTCTGTTATTAAACCATAAACAAACATTCATTTCTTCATCAAAGTCAAACCAGTTACGAAAATTTTAACACTGTTACGTGTTAATGTGAAATGCAATTTTATTTCACATTTGAATCGACAATTAAATATTAAAAAAATGAATTATAGTAAAATAACGATATTAAGATGTGATTTTAAAATTGAATATAATTTACGTGTCAGTCTATGACTCGCTAACTTATGGATAGAGAGATTAACATTTATTCAATTTATAATCGTGTAAAAATTGCCAACAATAATTTTTTTATTTCTCTTTCAAAATTTGCTGTTCATATGCAAATAAATAAGTAACCGCAATATCCAAAAGTAATATTTAATCGATCTCATTCACAATTCTTGTTAATTTTTCATGCCAACTCGAGAGCATATATACAAAATATCTTTGAATTTTACATCGAATAAATTCTTAAAACATGAAGAAATGTCTTTAAAAACCTAACATGGAATTCTAAATTTATTAGACAAAAATAAAGTTCTTTTTTATATTTTTATGATTTTCTTTTTTGGAAATGATTCCTTCGACTAACAAACCTAAGTTTCCGAGATTTATTTATCGAAATGTGACACGATGACGATCTTGACAAGGGATTCAGATCTGACTTTACTTTCAAGCTCATTTTAATGATCCCATATGCAAATCATCATACGTATGCGTCCATTTGTATTTGTTTGATTTTAAATTTATTAAGAATTTATAATACGAATAAAAACTACTTATAATACGAAATGCAAAACGTAGAGAAAATTAAGTATGCACAAAATGAATGCAAATGTTGAGTTTAATAATACTGTCTACCCATCTAAAGAAAGGCAAGAAACGAACAAGAACATCGTTCATATATGTGAAGACAAAGCAAACCAAAGATTAAAGATTATAAATTGCACGACTAGTGCGTTTAATTAATCGAAATTTTGGCGAGTCGCTTGTTGAAGATTCCAATAAGCTGATATTTTCAGGACAAAATATTTCCGACTAAATTGCATACAAGATACAATAAATGTTTTTTACTTGTCTGGCTGGTTTGCTGTTAAATTTTCCAAAGTCGCTTCATTATCACTTCTGTTGTCTGAAATTAATATTCTTAAATCCAATGGTTCCAATAAATCCAATGTTAATATATTATCCAATGTTGAAATTTTTAACCGTAATATATCCATTCAATTCTTTGATATTTTACCCCTTTCTTGGATTAAAATGAATTAATTTTTTGTTTTTCTTCCAAACGAGAACGGAAACATGGAACGTAGTGGCGGCAGTTTTTCGTTGCTCTCATTCGATGAATTAAAAAATGTTAAATTAATTGAAGAAATGTTTTAAATTTAAGAGCATGTTAAGCATATTGATTGCTCTTTCGATACCATTAAAATATGAAGATTTAACATTCAAGTAACATTATTCTTTCCCTTACTTTAAATTTTACTCGTAAATATAAATTTTGTGTCTGTTTCTTTTTGATATTTTATAATTAAAGCATTAAATTTCACGACTCTCCTAAATTTCTTTAATGTCATATTTGCAAATGATTAAAAAGGAGAAAATATTTTATCAAAGTTATTAATTATCTAATTAACTTAACACATAAATTACATCAAAATCTAAATAATATTTGATGTTTGATTAAGTCGGTTTTTTCTTTCTTTCTACTGAGAAATTCAAATTTATAAAGAAGAAATGAAATAGAACAGTTAATGATACGGTGTGCAAATCAATTCAAGCGAAACAATAAAATTATATATATACAATGAATCTGATTTCTTTGTGGAACAGCGTAAAAAGAATTCGTGTTATGAAAATTGCTGTTAAATGTTCACCTATCAAGATTTAAAGTTGTAGAAAAAAAAACTTGATTGCACTTAATTTGACGGCTTGAAAGTTCGGAATCAATCAACCGAAACTCAAACAATATGATTTTTGTTTTACTAAACACCTGAGTAGCTTTGAGCAGGTTTTTCTACGTCTTTAAATTTCTATCCAACCTCTTTTCATTCAAATTTGATCTGGTACAATTTTCCAGCTATTCAGCATGGTCATTGATTATGTTGTTGTATGAAACAAGACTCATACCTACAATCAAATTGCAATTTTCTTACTGAATTTTTTCTTTAGATTTCATTGTTAAAAAATAAACATTCACTTGACTTCATCATCATCTTGTGTGGTAAGATATATGTTGAATGCATATACACAACATGAACATATCATACAATTTTTTAACTATAACTTTCAAACTGTTTATCTTGAACGAAATTTCAATCAACGCATGCAGTAAAATTTGTTAGAAAACTATTAAATGCAGTAATCAAAGTCAGCCTTCAATTAGAAACTAATAAATAATTTTGTGTACATTTTCAACATAATGTATGTACATACAAATCTGGATACCTTTCTCAATGCTCCACATCACGGCAAGTTTACAGATGCTAGACAAGCATGTTTAGATGCCTTTTGTATGATAAGAATAATTTTGCTGAAATAACTGAATATGACAGTATTTCTGCGTTGCTATATAAGTGGAGAAAATTTATGCTTTTCTGTTTAGTTTTCCTTTATAGGAATGATTGACGAATGGAGTCTCGATAACTATCAAAAGCATCAAGATAAAATCACGCAATTATAATTATTCTCCACTTTTAACTCGCAGTATGTAATCCAATGATGAAAAAGCAAAACTGTTGCAATTTTAATAAATAGAACAATCAGACAAGTTTCGAAGTGTCAGTAGTCTAAATTTACATCGATCAAACTTCTGAAATACTAACAAATACAATTAGAGATACCAAAAAGAAGCAGGGAAACTTCACAAATGTACAATTGCTCTTAAACTATTAAATTTATCATGGGGCTCCGCGTCCGACGAATTTATGTTTACATAAGAAACTAAAATCAAACATAATTTATGGTTAAATAAGCAGATAAAACATGTTTTACAGTTGTTTTATCATGCCATGATTATTGAATATATGACCATGATTACTGATGATTCAAATTAGTAATCTGTAAATTTCATTTCAATTCACAGTGATGGAAGCGTGTGATTATTATTAAATCGAGAATATTTATGTTGGCATAAATTCCATAAATTTATTATTTATGTTTAAAGGAAACTTCTGCTTAACCAGACATTTTGATTGAAGAACTTTTAGTCTCGAAGACTATTAAACAATAAAAATTCTAAATCATAAAACAACTGAATATTTGTCTTTGACAACAAACAATTCAACATGTGCCATGAAGAAAAAAGTATTGGAATGTTTCTGTTGAAAACAATTTATCTGGATATGTACAATGAGATTTTTTTGGGTGGTTTGTTTAGTGATTTTCAGGAAAGGGAAAAAAGAATAAAAGTTATGACCTTCAACACACTTCATCGACTTGCTTACCTGGCACAACACATTGTTTCACTACATAGGCTTTGTCATGTCTCATATTTCTCATTTACCCTTTATTGGAACAAACTGTCCTATTCTTCACTCTTCTCAGTTATTAGAGAGAAAAAGTCAACAACAGTCATAAATAAAGGGATGAAGGAGTTTTTGAGAAAAACCTCAAAATTTATTTTCGTTGCAAAAAGTTGTTAAAAGTTATTACTTTTTTTTCTGAAACTTCTAATAGAACTTTTTCTTCGCTCTTGTAAAACTGTAAAATTTTAGGAAGAACAGTTTTTTTAATAGTCACTTGAAGGTCTTTTTTTTTTTTTTTGCAAAAACATTCTTAGTTTCATTTACAGAAAACACTTACAGCAGCATTGAACTCCCAAAAGACATCGACAATGATTGATCTTTCGAATAATAACATCAATAAAGAGTACTAAAGCATCATAAAAATCTATTACGATGATTTACGGTTCAATTACTTACCAATCGTATAGGAAGTGAAATCTTCAATGATAAATATTTAATGATGGGCGATGTGAGGTGGAGATTTGTAGAGTTATTATTTGATATTGAAGGCAATTCTCAAGAAAGCACAGACTTAAATACTTGATGCTTCTTGGTATTTCTATTCTTCCTCCATTAAAGTGATATCTTTAAGAACGTTTTGTGATTCCTTCTTTCGTGGCGTAGTAACTTGACACATAAAAACTTCCAAAAGGAAAAACTTGCGAGAAAAGAAAAGAAAAGCGTTTTCTTTCGGAAACCTACTCGCCTTTCATCCAAACACATAAAAAATACAAAATAAATTCACGTAGAAATATGCACAAGAGAGTTGTAAAATAAAAATCTCGTTACATTAACCAAAAATATAATTCACATCTGAAGTTTCGTTTTTTTCTGTTTTTTTTTTTCTTCTTTATCTCAAACCGTTCAAAGACGTGTTTCATCTTTTCCCATTCACTTCGTTACTATCGAGCACATTCAAAAGGGAAGATTATTCGTGATGTAATCAAAAGGAATGCTGAATTTATGTATGTTTGGGAAAGAAAACGATCCTTGTGATGGGATGTCCATAAAAATATTGAGACGATAGATATTTAGTGTGAATCTAAGGGATAGAAAAGAAATGGACAAATGCATTTGAAATTTAATCTGGGCATACAAAAAGACCGTAAAAAACAAACATATCACTTTATAAAATAAGTAAGTAAAGAAGCTAAATCCAAGTTCGATATAAAAAATCCGAACAACTGTTAAATATGATATTCGTGCAATTGTATGTTAGACTTCATTACTCACCCTTCAATTGTTCACGTAAATTCATAAGAAAGATCATAAAATCGATTGCCAACTACTCTTTATTCAACTGCACATATATTCAAATGAAAAATAAATGAGAAAAACTCATTGACCGTAACTTGGTTGAACTGTGAACAATTTTCTCAAAAATTGATTTTTGGTGTTATGAATAATACATCAAAATTCCTTTCATGATACTTTTTTTTATTTTGCTTCTGATCGTCATCAGATTGGATCGTAATTTAAGCAGATACATATTTTCAATTTCGTTATAATAGAATTGCTTTTAAACTCTTGTTAAAGATTGTTTCCAGTTCACTTTCAAAACGAAGTGATTGGATAAATTGAATTTTCCCATTTCAAAGCATAAGCAATTTTGCTCTTTTCTCCTTTTTTTATACTCAAGCTATCAATATTAAAAAAAACCTCAAAACTCGAAAATTCAATATAAAAAATCCTGAAATTCTTCTTCACTTCCGTTACCCCTCAAATCACACACCAATATCCTTTTGCGCTTAAAATCGATACTTTCACATTGCAAAGGTAGTCGATGAAGTACAAATCATATCGTGAGCTACCGCAATTGACTGAAGACTTGACTTTTTTGTTAAGCAAGATGTCATCAAAGTGAGTTGATTATTTCTATAAATTGATATGACATTTTATTAAAGATTGTTCATTAATGTCTCTGCTTTCTAATTGTTCATGAAGACTAATGACAGACAGACAGCTGTCAAAATGTTCACCATAAATCTTAGAACCTTTCCGAATTCAAACCTTAAAAAATGCGGCGACCAAAGTGAATGAATATATTCATTAGGCGAAAGGGAAAAATTCACTCAAAAAAATCCAATCGTATCAATCAAAACATGAATAAAAAAAAGGTTTTTCGCAGTATTGTATTTAATCATCGGGAAAGAAGGAAGGAACAAAATCTACTTCACCTTTTTATGAATTATTGATGAAGAAAATCGTATGATGAGTTCAAATCACTCTGTGAGTGCGTGAATTCTATCACTGATTAAGCACTTGAAAGTTACATAAATAAATTTTCTGATTACTTAACAATTTTGATTGCACTTCATGGCACTTGTGTAGTGCATGATTCAAATATTATGACATTGTGAAATCACTCAATTTTTCCCATTCAATCTTAATTCAATACCACAAGTGTTCACTTATTGAATACTTGAAAATTTCCACCATGTAAAAGATAATTTATTGATGAATTATATGAGTAAATAGAATGAAGCAATTGAATTATTTCTTTTCATCAGACGCTTTAAGACACTTAACTGGATTATGAAGGATGAGTTGGAAAATAAAATCAATTCTTTGTGAGAGTTTTCCTATTTGTTGAAGGATTTCCTCATGCGTCATTTATTGAAGTAACTTTATCATTTAATTGCCAGTTGGTGGGAATCCTTGATTTGTATGGATTAAGAATTTCCATCGTTTAGATACATCTTTCCATCCTATATGAATTCAACAATAATTGAACTTGAAAGCAGGGATTACAGGTCTTATAAGTAAGACACCCAAATGCATTTTCCCTCAAGGTTTCGTTTATTGATAAAATTATTACGAATCCTATATATGGAATCAATTATAATTTATCACTGAAAAGCAGATTCTTTTTTCCTTTCTCATGTGATTCCAGCAAATTTGAAAATTATTTCAACATAAATCATTGTACAACTTTTATTAGACCAGAAGATTCTTATTTCTCTGCTTCAAGTGTTCTCTTCGATTTCCCGTTGACTTTCAGTTGGCTTCATGAGCCACTAGAACATTCTTTAATAGATATTTATGACATCTCAGGCATCTCTCGTTCCATATATATTTTTATTATATTTTATGATTATGATGATGATATATTTTTTATTACACATCTTGAGAAGAGAGCGATGTTATCTTTCAATTTTTTCGTCTGACCGTTCATTGGGGAGGACAAAGTGCCGAAGAAAATATGCTTGACCATGTATAGTGCTTAATGGACCATAATAAATAATAATTTTTAGCCTCATCTCTTGCTTTATAAGGTGAACATTGTATGAAAGACATAGATGCTTCGCATTTGATAACATTTCGTATCTTTTGCAGCTCTCTCTTCATACAAATATTATAAATTTGTCACGAGTTGTCTAAGGGTGAAGATCAGAGTGAAAAGTTTTTTATTAATTTAGATGCTTAGACCATTAGCACTTGATGACGACTCGTCATTTAGGAGGATTGTGTGCGAAATGTTCTTATAACAAATAATAGAACTCATCACTTTTCCTAAAACTTTTCTGTATGTCTCATAAGTAAAATTTATTAAGATGTAGATTGGCAGACTATATTTGACGAATTTTCGAAGAAAAAATAATGAAAAAACGATTTCAGATAAGAAGTTTCTTGTGATTGGATTGAATAGATTCGTTAGAATTTTGTTAAAGGAATTTTCATGAATTTAGCTGAATAATAGTTCTGAAGAGTTTCACAGACAAGCGAGTGAACGACAGAATGAGAAGCCACCAAAATGAAAAATATTGAATCTTTGTGGTTTTTAATGGGTTTCGCCATAAATTGTTTCTCTTAACAAGCACACCGCAATAATATTCAAATGACCAAAAAATGTCCAAGCTACGGGAAAGAACAAGAAAAACAAAACCAGAATATTGAACATTAGTTATTTTCTAATTGAATAAATGAGTTTTCATTTGCATATCATATTTATGATTCTTCATTTCTCGAGCGAGATTCTCATCTCTTTTAAAATATACAAACATTAATATTTCATATTTTTGATAGCTTTATGGCTTTTTCGTTCAGGTCCAATTATCGTAAAATTGATTTTATATTTATGGACTCTTAAGTGGGTTTAAGACGTCGAAAATTGTCAATAAAATAACAGGATAAATTTATGAAATAATTATATATTCATAGATGAATCATTCATTTATTTGTTTTTTATGCCGTACGTGTTTAACTGTCTTAAAAATGTATCAACCATAACTATTTAAACATTTTCGTGATTCTTCAAAAAAATATTAAAATATGAAACGTATCAAACACAAGAATGTTAATTAAGTTAGTAAGAATGAATAAAAAAAATGCCTTAGATAACAAGAAACAATTTATTACAGTCTACTGTTCGATATTGCCAGAGAAAAGAATAAAATTTTATAGATTTTCAAACCTGCTGAGTAAAGCAAAAATTATTTGAGTTCGGACAAGGGAAGCAGTTAAATAATAGAAGGGGACAACATGATACAGAATGGAATATTTTATGTTTCTGGTGCTGTGATTTACCTTCCTCAGGGAATTACACGATACACGTTTATACCTTATGTAGGAAATTGGAAAACGTTAAAGCAAGAGACAGACTTTTAATTAGATTAAAGTTCAATGGCAATAGTTTTGTATCGAGAAACATATTAACAAATAAATGCTTCTATTTGTTTAGTTTGTGATATTTATCAATCGATTCAAAGCCTTGTTTCATATCATTTGATTTCATTTGAAAATGTTCACATGTTGTTATCCAATAAATTTAGCAATTTAAGAAAGTTTATTATTTAGATTCACAGATATGATTGCATTCAACTTTATAAAACCTTCTCATTATCGTTCAATCTGTTTGCTGTCAGAATAACGTTTAACATCTATTGTGGCACTGATTTCTTCCACAGTCTCGTTCATGAGACAAAAAAAATTCTTCAACGATTTCACATTATGGTATTTCCGAATAAAAAGAAATGCGATTTTGTCTGAATGCATAACAATTGCAGTTTTGTTTTCTTTTATTGCGCTGATTGTTTTAGTAAGAATGTTGGTGCTGTATAGATTGCTTACTTACAACTTTTTTGTATATTTAATCACATTAAAGTGTTAAGCTCCTCAGTTCGATCGAAATAAATCCAAGAAGATGTTTTGTGACAAAACTGATAAACGTCTTTGCAGCCATAAGAAAAATCGTAAAAGTTTTTTTTGTAAAACCAAAGTTGTGTACTTGGATCGATGTTCACTACCAACTATCTGCAGTTACACTTTTGCCTTTATTCTCTTTTACAATCGTTGTATTCTTAAGCTATGTTTTTGGTTCATGCAAGCATTTTTATGTACATACCACATTGGATAAGAGAAGGAAAATAAA